GGCCGGTGGCGGTACGGCCGGTGGCGGTACGACCGGTGGCGGTACGACCGGTGGCGGTACGACCGGTGGCGGTACGACCGGTGGCGGTACGGCCGTCTACGTCGTCCTGTTCCGTGCTGGTGTACTCAATACCGGAGCCCACGAGTCGGAGCAGACGGAGGTTAATTTGCAGTTGTCGTTTCTCCTTGACGGCGGCGCCCACGTCTCCACTGAGGCGCACAATGATGTTGACGGGAGCGTCGAGCTCCTCGGCGGCGACCGGTTTTTGATCGTCGAGCCACGCCTCGGGCGGTAGACGCTCTTCTTCGGCCTTGGAGGCTGCGAAAACTTCACACCAAGGCGGCGGGCCGAACGGCGAACTGACGCGACTTGATGGGTTGAGTAAGAAAGGGTGCCCGAAAGATCGCGCCACACGCTTTTCTTTCCAGTTCTCGTATACCTCCGTATGCTGTTCGAACCCAGCATTCTCTTCTCCCGGTTCCTCCCCTCCACGGCCTTGTTCCGCCTCCGTAGCCGACTCGCGGCCCGACTCCCAGTGGCGGTCACCGGGCGAAGCAGCACTACCGGTGGAGATAGCACCGGTGGAGGTAGCAACACCGGAGGCGGTTGCACCGGTGGAACCGGTACCATTCGCACTGCCTCCGCCACCGCTTCCCCCGGGAGCAGTGACATCTTCTCCTCTGCGGGTACTGGAGGAGGTATTGGTGGAGGAGAAGTCAGGTAGGTAGCCGGCATTGTCTGCGGCTTCCCAAAGCGTTGGGGCAAGACTGCGGGTGGTGTCTTCTAGAAGTTCAACGCCCCAGTAGCGACTGGGTATGCTGAGTAGTTCTACCCAGAGTTCGGCGCGGTACGGGTAGTTGAGATTGGATCCCTTGAACACTTGCTGTTCGTAAGGGATACGGGTAACGTTCCAGCGTCTGCATAGGTGAGCAACAATGTGGGCGAAGTGCACTTGTTCCTGGGCACCCGCGGTAATAGTTTGAGCAATCTGACGTAATTGCGCGGCCAGTTCCGCCCCCACCTTTTTACGTCGCCGTAATGCTGTCAAGATCTCACGATAACTCTCTTCCTCATTCACCTGATTAATCGCACCCGTCACGGTCAACTGTCGCATTTTCTTACGCTCCATCTCCTCCGTGGCCGCCGGCGGTTGTGGAAAGGTACCATCCACCGGTGCAGTCTTCATCAAATCAAACACAGCATGCAACTGTTCCAGCTCACGCACTGCAGCCGCTTTATGCTTCGCCACCTCCGCCCAGACATCTCCATTTCGCAATTGCAAATCCACCAGCTTCCGTCGCTGCTTCTCAGTCCAGTCAGCGAACAACAAAAACAACTCCGTCTCCGTACGCATGAAGTTTATAAATAACGAACGGTCTGACTCATCCACCATCTCAAAAACAGCCTTCTCCACACGTTCCAATTCCAAGTCATTCTGCAACTCCTCATCAGCTGTCAACTCCGGCCCATTCATCACCCCATCATTCTCAACTGACTCCTCTGGAACAACAACTGACGCCGGAATAA